TTCTGATGTTTTAGCGGAAGAATTTGACAAATAAGTTTTTTTTTTATTGTTCAAATAGAGACATTTTTTCAGCAAAGCTTTAAGCTCTCTGCCGGAGTTTTATCTCAGAGTTGTCATCACGCGTGGCTGTTTGCTCTATGCAAATGTTGATAATTTACCCAGCAAGTAGCACACAGATACATATTTACTTAATATATTATATATATATATGAGTACATAACACATTTAGATGGATAAATTCTTTTGCAGGCAAAAACAGAAAATTGCTCTTCTTTTTGATATTTTTAATCTCTTTAAAAAGTGTATGTACGCGTATGTACGTGTAACAAGTTCCGAACTTTCAATGCAAGAAATATTGTGTACCGCTCTAATATACACAGTTACACTTACATACATACATATGTATATGTTTCTACTTAATTTATATTTATTTAGCGCTTTACAACCGCAGAGGCGATTTTTGGCTGCGCTTCTCCTCCAATTTATGGCGTGAGTCTTGATGTTATTCCAACAAATGATCAGAACCTTTAGTTTATTCTAAAACGCCACCAAAAGGCCGATCTTTTGTGTGTTGCTCGAACCCAGGCGCTCCGAATAGTAGTACGCAGTGCTAACCACTCGACTATTGCGGCCGCCATACTACTTAATTTGCAAACATACGACTAAATATGTATGTATGTATGTATGTGAATGCTTCTCTGTGTAACTACTTCAGCTGATTTTTTAGAGGTAAAAGTATTTAAGTCTCGGTGAATGCGGACAAATGACAGGAAATGCAAATAAAATTGCAAATGTTGCATAAAATCAGCTAACGCAGGGCGCACCAATTGTTGTTGTCATAATTGTTTGTCTTATATGTATATGTGTTTGTGAGTGAGTGAGTGTGTGTGAGTGAGTGTGTGTGTGTATAAAATTTTCTTTAATTTGCTTTGTGTGTGGCGCATTATATACTTGAGGATGAGGTTGATCCAGTCATTGCTCTGCCGACGTCTATTCTGCGCTGCAGTGATTGCTGCCGCTTTGTGCCGGCAATTAAAATGCAATTAGTAATCGTCAATTACGTTTGTCTCTCGTTATCTCTTCTTTTTCTTTTACGCTTATTTGCTAGTGTTGTTGCAATTTTTTTTTTTTTTTTTTTTTGTAATATTTTACTCTTTATTGGGTTTTCAATTTCAATTGCTTTCATAAGTTTCTCGGTACTGTTATATTTGTATTATAACAATACGATGTAACTGCACATAAGAGAAATAATGCATAGAAGATTGAATAATCCTATTATTTTGCTGATGAATATTTATGAGTACTGAGTTATGTAGGTATGTATGTAACACCATATGTACTCCTACACTAATTTACTACAAAATGTTCATTACTCTCGACAGCACTGAGTGCTCAAGGTGTATTAACTTTCCTCAGCTAACGGTTGCGTATAACAGCTAGTCGGGATATATGTAGCTTGTCATAGCCCAATCAAGTCGAATTAGGAATTTCGCATTTTCCTTTAGGTTGTTATTGAATGCAGGGCCGCGGGGACTATGTTATTTTTAGAAAAAGTGTAGTACACATTCCCCCTTAGAATAAGCCACCACGGAACGGTGGCTAAAACTTTATGGGTAGCTTTTTATTATAGATCAGATATGCACTCGCAGTGATTGATAGTTCCTGCCGAGAGGCAACTGACCCTTCGCTGGAAAACCTGAAAGTTACATGTAATTCGTAATTATTGACCTCAAAAACCCCCCGAGTATCGAACCTCAAGTTATTTTTATAGATTTTCAAAAATTTATACGCCATTTCGAATTTTGAAAAATGGATTTCGGATTCGTAATTAGCGACTCCAAAACTCCGGTTCAGAAAGTTTCAAGTGAATCCGACACTTTTTGATTGACAAAACAATTTTTTTCCTTGATTAAGTTTGCTTTAAGTTGACCCACTTGCTGAGCAGACGGAGCAGCGCACTTAGGCTTGAAGCGCCGTTGTTATGCCGACGTGGAATACTTTTCACCTTCCCAGATGTACTAACCATTTCGTGTGCCTAACGAATGATGTCGTACTGCCTACACCAGCCATTGGTACGTCAGCCAAGCAGTCAAGGAACTGATAACCTGGGTATTTATGTAGTGTGATGCTTAGGGTTGGGCAATGACGGTGGTAGTACTCTAGAGACTCGACAGACTCTTCATTGATAAAATATACCATTCTTCTATGGTGAAATCCCACTAAACGGTGTTCAGTTAATATGCCCTTTGCTGAATTATTGTTGAACTTTTCAATCTTTTAGCGTCCACTACAGGTCAAAGCTATCAAATCTAAGCGCTCAAGAGCCTTTTTACTTTTTTTGGAAGTACTTCTGTATATATTTTCTCTCTTCTTTTTAGAGTTACTTATGAGTCTGTTGAACCCATATTAAATTTAAGATTCCTTTTGCATTTTGAAATTGATATGTAATCCCGAATTTCAATACAACGAATTTGATAAGATCATAAGGTACAAAAATTTCGGCTTGGCCAAAGGCAGCATATCTTTCTTCTCTCCAATTATATACTCCAAACCAAATTGTTCCTTACACTTTCAATCACTAATAAAACGCGGAGGCAACTTCCTGTGAATTTCTGTATTTTGGCCAATTTTTATACTAATTGGTAAGGCATAAAAACCTTATTTAAGTCAACATTTTACGGTTTTATTATATTCTTGATCTCTCTTATGCATCCCCGCTGCTCAGTCTTTCTCAAAACATGCCCATATTAATATCTCGGAGTAATCCAAATGCACCATTTCGACCTATGCGTATTTACACATTTAAGGGCTTATTCTGTTGAGGTAATAAAAATCTACTTTGGTATTAAAATTTATCATTCAGTAGATTTTGTTACTATTTGGTATTCTTAGCTCACTGTCACCCTGTAAATTTTGTTACCCGCGAAATGGAGGCTACAAAAAATCTACTGTTTGATTTTGTGTTGTTAGTTTAAGAAAAAATAAAAACCTATTGGGGGAGCATATTTTAGGCCTAGAATTCATTGAAGATGGAGGAAAAAGTTTTTATATTGAGTGAAACTACCTTCCTTTTTAGTGTCATAGGCTAAACTGTGGTCCAAAATTTGTCTTGGTATCTTTTAGACAAATGTACAAACAAAGAACGCATAAAATTTTTTTTTGCAAAAACAACCCTTAAACTGAATATGTATTGTTTGCTGTTGGAAATCCAGAGATTAACTCATTTCTTGAACTAAAATTGTTTTTCATTTTGTTTCGAAAAATTTCTAGTATTTCATTCGATACAAACTAGAATAACTAATTTTTTCTTGCTTCACTTACAAAAATACTTATTTTGAAGACCACACAAATGGAGAGTACACTAGTAAGAAAAATTTATGAAATCTTTATGTGAATCGAAAATGCGGTCTATTTAATATTTGAAGACTATTTCAAGCAAATTTTAACCGTGACTGCGCATCAAATGGTCCATCACTTAGTCAAATTTTCACATACTCTTTCCAACATTTCGGCCGCTATCTCACTAAGAAATGCCTCAATGTTGTCCTCAAATACGTCAATTGAATCGGGCTTGTCTGTATGGTCATTTGATTTAACATAGCCCCACAAAAAATAGTCGAAAGGCGTTAAATCGTGCGATCTACGCGGCAAATTGACCGGTCCCGAACGTGAAACAAAATATTCAACGAGCTCGCCTCTCAATAAGTCCATTGTTACGCGTGCTGTGTGACATGTGGCACCGTCTTGTTGAAACCACACGTCATGCATGTCAAGCTCTTGCATTTCGGGCTAAAAAAAATTGATATCTTCTCACGGTGGCGCCCACCATTCACAGTTTCTGTGACTTTTCCTGGATGCATTGGTAGGTAAGCCAAAAATGATCTTTGTCGCTGAACACAATTTTTTTTGTTTGAACTTTCTTAACAGAGCACGCATTTTGGTAATAAAATTCAATAATTTGCAGGCGTTGTTCGTTTGTAAGACGATTCATGGTTAAATTATAGGCCAAGCTGAAGATCTTTGACAGTAATATAAAACACGAAACATGCGTCAGCTGTTTAAGCCAGTGATGCCAAAAAGATAATAGCTAAAAAAAAGTCACACCACTATATACGTATTTACTATATGTATGTATGTATGTAAATGTATATGATTTATGCGCAGCACATTTTAAAATTTGAAAACTGTTTTTTAGAAAAGCCTTGTTGCAACCAACGAATATTAGTTCAAATTCTTTTAAATTTGGTATAAAATAAAAATTGTTTGGATTTCCTATGCAAAACTGTGAATCAAAGAATTGAACTGAATCTAATTCCAAATTCCAATTAATTTAACAACTCACCTTTACAATAGTATAATTAATAAACTTTGAAGATTAAAATTAACTTGACCAGTTTAGTTCCAGAAGTAGCCCGTTGACCGACGCTTTTGCTTCAGTGAATTAAGTTTTTGTTATAAATACAAATCGAGTGCAAATGCATAAATGCATACATATGTACATACGTGTATGTATGTGCGTCGCCATAAGTGCACAGTAACTGTCACTACGAGTACCACAAGCCTTAACGGACGTTACTTGCATTTTAATTATCCGTAGTTTTGGGCAAAATCTCTTCGATATATTGCAATTACCATTGACTGCTCTCTTCGACCTACAAAGGCCATTTATAGTCATGTCAGACAGCGTAACTTGATTTTCAATTAATTTTTGAAGACTTTTTTGCCAGTTGGGGATGTAGCTCAGATGGTAGAGCGCTCGCTTAGCATGTGAGAGGTACGGGGATCGATGCCCCGCATCTCCAGTTGCGTAATTTTTTATTTTATGAAATTAAATAAAAATGATTGAAATAACTGTTTTTTTTTTTTTAATTTTTTAGTGACAAAAACTCTCAAAGACTCATTGGATACCGAAATTCAAAAATAATAATAATAAGATTTACTATCAGTCACAATTATTGAATATTGAAAATTATGGGTCTACGGCAGAAACTAGTTTTTAAATTACAAATATAAAGCGTTTGAACTCCATAAAATGTCAATGGAAGATTTGTTAAATATTGTCGAAACCGGAACTACGAAAATGAATAACAGGAATGAAGTGCTTTTTTCAGTTCACGTCTTTCATGAACTTACCCAAATTATTGTAAATGTAACATTCGAATTGGATGAGTTTCAAAATCATTTGTTATTTTAATTTATATTCCATAGACATAACTGGACTCGATTTCATATTCTAATTATATACGTGTATGTATTCCTATTCGAAAAAAATTATTTATGGTTAGAAGTGAACCAGAAACTGAGGCATTCATATTGAAATTTTCGCTAAAGAAATTTGAGCAACGAAGAAGTGACTAACACATACAATAAGGGAGTTCACAAAATTTTAGTCGGTTGGTGACTTTCAGTTTGATTTTGTTAAATCTAAACACACCAAATCGTTTGAAATTACCTTATTTATCTTCCTTTCAATTCTAGGTCGATCGGTTAAAATCGAGACGAGAAAACGCAAGATAACCAACGCAAACAGAGATCCGCCTCGAGATTCGAGCTTTCTAAGTAGTTTCGAAGATTCACGACCGGAGATTTTTCCGTAAAGGATGAGCTCCGAGAAGGTCGACCAAAATCTTCCACTGATGACGTCACTGTAACCTTGGTGAGCACCAAAATTGACGACGAACGCAAGAAATGGTTGCTAATGAATATTAAACAATCATGTGGGATACGTGAAGAATTTTAAATGAGGTCCAAGAAGAAACTCGAGTGCATCTGGCCGAACTTTTCCTAAACCAATTCGATTATGGTCAGTCTATCAACTCTAGTAAAGTCGCTACTGGTGACGAATCTTGGTTCTATAAATACAATCGAGAAACCAAACAGCAGTCCATGGTACGGAGTCCAAAATGAGCCTATCCACCCGTAAAATCTTAGCAACAAAAATTAGCAGCAAAAGTAATGATGTCAGTTTACTTCACCCGATCTTAAGTCGTAGCTGCTATTCCACTTGGAAAACAAGAAGAAAGAGATTGCTGAACTAACGAGTCATTTTATTGCGATCTCTGGGATCACAGAAACAACTCTAGTACCATATTCCCCTGATATAGCACTTTGGGATTTGTGATTATTTCCAAAAATTAATAAAAATTTACAAGGAAAGATCTTTAATAGCTATGAGGAGATAATTAATGTGGTTAATGCTGAACTTGGTAAGCTTAAAAAGCAAGATTTTGAAGACTGTTTTCAGAAGTGGATGTATAGGCTTTAGAAATGCATTGAAAGCATTCGCGATTAGATAAAAAGACGTTGTAAAGATCTACATGTTTCGAAAAGTTACCCATCGACTAGAATTTTTACACAATACTGGCTGTCATTCCTGCAAATGACCATCAAGATGCATAACCTGCAAAAAAGTGTATTTGGCCGATGTATTTTCACACCGATTACTGGAAATTTTATGATTCCCGTAAACACCTGTAATTAAGTGACAACAAAAAAAGATTTGAGTCACGGAGTATTCCCAAATATCCTAATCAATTAAATGGATCCTGGGTGGCTGAATCAGCGAGCTATCCTCGCTACAAAAGCCAAAAATGAATACGATTCCAACCATACTATTCATGAAAGTCAATAGACATCGTTTTAGAAGCAGATGAGGAGAAAAGTAACCACCTTGGGAATGAGAATGCTGCAAGTACAAATTTTCTAAGCTGCGTTTTTATTTGATTCAACGTAATCTCCTCTTAGCTCGATGCACTTATTCCAGCGATTTTCCTACTTCTTAATTCCGTCCGAAAAGTCATTTTTTGAAAGTATGCAAAATACTCCTCCGTGGTCTCTATAATTTCCTCGCGTGAGCTGAATTTTTTATTTATAAGGCATCTTTTGAGATTTGTGAAAAGATAATAGACCGCATAATCCAAATCGGGCGAATATGATGCATGCGGAAGCAATTGGAGCTCCAGTCCTTGATTTTAACCATCGATACGATGCTCTTGTGTACCGACGCATCAATCAACAATCAGCTGTCAAAAGAAAACTAAGGCCAGCAGCGCACGGGAACTCGGCATGCTTGCCTCAATTAGAACGGGTACAGATAGATCATAAAATCCTCATTCCTCGAATCCGTTTATCATTCCATCAGAAACTATTTGCAAAACAAGCTACAACAGTTGTCTGTTCGACTGACATTTATAATCACTATCAACAGTTAGTTTAGTTAGGTTACGGGCATAGACACGCCTTACGCGATTATTCTTTAACAACCTTGTGCCATTCGTTTCTTCTTTTTGTAGTCTGGCGCCAATTGCAAATACCAAATACAGCCAGGTCCTCTACCTGGTCTTCCCAACGGAGTGGAGGTCTTCCTCCTCTTCTGCTTCCACCGGCGGGTACTGCATCGAAAGCTTTCAAAGTTTAAGTATTCGCATCCATACGGATCACATGGCCTAGCCAGCGTAGCCGCTGCTTTTTGATTCGCTGAACTATGTCAGTGTCGCCGTATATATCCCATACAGCATCATCGGCTGCGGTATTCGCCTTTGCCAGCTCATATAGGCCCATAAATTTTACGCAAAATCTTTCCCTAGAAAACTTCTAGCACCGACTCGTCAGATGTTTTCAGCGAACACTGTATAGCAGGACAGGAACGATGAGCGACTTATAGAATTTGGTTTTCGTTCGTCGAGAGAGGACTTTACTTTTCAATTGCCTACTTATTAAAACTTAGCATCCGGTTAGCAAGAGTGATTCTGCGTTGCATTTTAAGGCTGACATCATTGTTGGTGTTGAGGATGGCCCCTAGGTAGACGAACTTATCTACGACCTCAAAGTTATGACTATCAACAGTGACGTGGGACCCAAGTCGCGAATGAAGTCAGGAGATATTTCGTCTTGTACTCGTTCACTACCAGACCCACTCACTTCTTTATCTAGGCTGGCGTACGCCAGTAGCTGAACACTCCTATAGAAGATTGTACCTATACGATAAGGAATCCCCTCGCCTAAAACCTCGTTCTTGGTATCGAACGGGGAGGTCCTGCCCGATCCTAACGAAGCTTCTAGTATTGCCTAAGGTCAGTTTACACAGCCGTATAAGTTAAATTTTCTAATTGCGGTCAACCCTCACCCCTTCGAGTGTTTTTCGGACACGAAATAAAGCTCCTCATTAAAAAAAAACATCAGCCGTTCGGAGGCGGCTTAGAATAAACTGTAAGTCCCTACATTTGTTGGTAAAACATCAATATGCAAAACCACAAACTGGAGGAGGAGCTCGGCCGAAAATCGCTTCAGCGATTACAAAGCGCCAATTATATATTATTGTATATATAATATTTGCGGGGATACCAAATTCTGACACAGCAACGTAGAGACAGCTCTTTATTGTGCTGTCAATGGCTGTTTTAAGATCGATGAAAAGGTGTTGCGTATCGATTCTTTTTTCAAGCATCATTTCCAAGATTTGTCGTCAATGGATGAGTTAACAGATCTAATACAACACTGATAAGGAATTTATTCTTTCACACGCTCGATAGTACTTTATGTGCAATATTTAATGGTCTAAAACCCACGGTAATTAGGAGAACGGAAATTTGTAGACTGTGGTATTCCCTTTTCTATGGCTTGAGCAGATCAAGTTCAAATCTTGGGTATGTTTTCGTCCGACCATATTTGGCCAGAAGCTGCAGAAGAAGATGAATGCACCTTGTCAGCTCAGTAGATCGTCAGTCCCAGGCGCTTGGAAACGGCTAATGGAATGCCTTTTATATCGGCATCTTTTGATTTTTCGGAGGCGCCTTTTTCGGGTCTTGTATTTCCACTGCCATTCAGCAGGCTAGAGAAGTGTGCCCTCACTTATTTTGGTATGTACAAAGAATAATTATTTTTTTCCGAAAATAAAGTAAAACATAATTAATAAAAACACTGCTATTGTGTGGCTGTCAACATCAAAAAAGCTATTAGTTTCAATTTTTTTAGTTCATTCCGTATGCATTTAACTACTTTCACATATTCATAAATACTGCTTAATAAATAAAATATATGATTTGACTAAATGACAGATATTTAAATGAAGTATGTATGTATATATGTATGCATACAAGTTGAAATTGTACAAATTATAACCGTGCATGTAACGGTAATCGTGAGCATCACCGGTGCAAATAAATCCAAGTATTATTGTTGCAAATTTTATGCAGTAACCAAAGCACCATAAATGTTTACGATAATCAAAAGCAAATATGTTCAGCAAAATGAAATGTATAAATAAATAAATGTTGGCAAATATTTGCATAACGAATACAAAATGCAACTATGGGAAGCGATTGCAATAACACTCAAAGGGGAAATTATGAAAAAATGAAGACGAAATTTGCAGAGAAATAATTTATTTATTTTATTTTCATTTTTTTTTTTACAACAATGAAATGTACAAAAGTGGAAAAAAAACATGGAAATGATCGTGAGCTCAAGTCAGCGCCAAACGAAAACACGTTCACTGACTGATTTTTCCTTTTCAATATTCAATGTTTTTATTTTCATTTTTATTTTCAACTGCATTTGTTTGTTTTATAATTTAAATAAAAAAAGAAAAAAAAACTTTCAATACAAAATTAAATCAACAGCAATTTACAACATTGAATTAATTAAATACGCGGTTGCATGCAACATAACCGAGAAAAAATGGCCGGAAAAAATGCGCAACTTAAATAAATTTCCGAACAAAACAGAAGAAACACCAAAGACAAAATAGATATATGTATGCACATGTATGTATGTATATGTATATAAGTAAACTCAAGCGCCACCAGGTGAATGAGTTAGCGAACTAAAGTGGCGTGCTCACGTTTTTTTGTGTGTATGTACGCATATGTTGCATGCATATATGTATATATATATATAATATATACATACATATGTAATATGTACATCCAGCGATATTTGCAGCTTCCAGCTTGTCACTTGGCATAGGAGCGCCAGGCATCTGCACAAAAGTTGTTAATGCAGGAAACAAAAGGCGGCATTCAACTTCACTTTCGTTTTCATTCGAGCGTCACGCGAGTTGCCAAGTGAGTGGAAGGTGAACTATGTTGGCATGTGCATAACACATTGTAACTCTTTTATAGCGGAAAATCACAACAAAACCAAAAAAAAAAAAAAAAAATTGCTACTGAGTATTTGATAACAGCAAATGCTGGGAATTGTACAAGTTCAATGAGTAGGGACGTGTTGAACACGGTTGGAACCCGACATTTTATATTATAAGTCATTATCAGTTTTAAAAATGTTTGTTATATCCAGGGATACCAAGTGAACCGAAGTCCCTCTCCACCTGACTAATCTAGATTGCTCTGATTCTGCCAACGAATGACACAACGCAAACTTTTGATCATCGTAGAGGCTCACAAGTATGGGAAGCGCAGTTTTGTTTTTTTTTTTACATTGAAAAACAGCTGAGATCACCTGATTTCTCAATCATTTTGCTTGTTTCCTTTTCTTTGACATTTCGTATTCAAATTTCCCTCATTCCATCATGATTTGCTGACAAATACTTTACTCTCCTTTTTGGTATGACATTTCCGTTTGCGTTAATTCTTTCATTGTCTGTGTATTCATTCCACCGCTGTCCGTATCATCAAGTTTGTTCTGTCAACTTGGCAGCAGTCATTATGATTTTATATTTGATAGACAAACCCCGAGATTGACAGGCAAATGCGAGTTGACAGATTTCACAAAATTCCATACTTGTAAACCCCTACGTTGCTTTTGATTCTGAAGTAATTTCAACCCTATGGATGAATTGATTTGAGTTGAATTAACTTAAGTTTCTGAGGCTAGTGGTCATTACCAGCGCACAGCCGATAGGTTCATTGTGGTACCGCTGTTAGATTTCTATCTTCACCTTTTGAAATGATCGAAGTATTTCTTGTGCCTTAT